AAAAAAATTTGGAGAAACAGTACCTCACTAGTAAAATGATTGGCGTTCATGTCACATCCACCATACATGAATGAGGTGCAGGCCTTCTTCTCAGGATCAAATCTTGAAAGTAGAATATAAGAGCATATAAATCTTTAATTTTCACTTCAGCGCCGAGCGTATCATATATTTAACAAGGAATGAATTTATACCTCCATCGAAGAATGTCATCATAACATGACCCATGCTCTTCGGGCAAACCGCATAACTCAGGAAGTGTGTAAGGTGAAAGGGGACCACGTTGAACAGCCAGAACCTAATCAAACTATACGATTCATCATTCAACCTGAAAGTTTCTAACCTTTTTTTCATCATCGTCCATTCCACGTAGGACATTATCATTAAGATCATCGCTCTGTGGTTCTTCTGGCTTTCTTACTGTAACTCCTGTTTCATCTTCGCTTTCAATCCGTTTCGTTGAAGGCTGGTCTTCGTCAAGGAATGTGCGGGCAAGCTCTCGTCGCCCCTATAATGTAACAAGTTACTTTGCAGATCAACAAGAATTTTCTTGGATCTCTAACTAACGTCTTTCGGAGCAGGACCAACCTGTTGACGATGGGCGCACCTAGCAGCGCAATCATCAGCTGTTTCAAAACGGTTTGCATTGCCACCACAACCTCCATAAACAAACTCTCTGCATATTCCGTTGGTGTAGTCGTAATAGTAGGCTGTCACGTATGCCCTTAACAACAAAAATAGGTGCTCTACAAAATTTGTCGCAGGATAGTACTTTTTTCTAGAAGAGTCCTATAAATATTTGAAAATTACCAACTTCTGTACCTAAGATATCACTACTGCGATTTTAAGAGTTTGAATAGTTGAATTAGACAACTTTTCAGAATAAGTTTATATGAATTTCTTGCATCCAAACTGTCATGTTCACCACTGCTTCTGAATTTACCTGTCCCTTTTAGTTTTTGCTTATCTGACCTGGAGGAATAAAATTAATTATTATATATAATATTATAATTATAT